TAAAAATCGGTGTTAAAAAATTAAAAATTTTTATTTTTTTTTTAAATCCGTTTAAAAATTTAAAAAAAATTTTCAAACGTGGCCCCCCCCCCCCGTTCGCGCCGTCCCTGCTTATTGGCACGATCATTGATAGTATCAAAAGAAAAGGATCTTTTATACATAATCATAGGCAAAAAATTAATGAAATCTAGAATTTATAGCAAAAATTTATTCCATGAATGTTAGCAGACCGTAAAATCTCAGGAATAATACTTCAACAGAATTAATTTTGCTATAACAATTTTCAATAGAAACTTTTATCAAGCATCAACGAGGGATTAGGCTAGAAAAAAAGCATGCTTTTTGTTTTACATCCAAACTATCTTCACCAATCTATGCATTACTTTTTCTTTGCTCAATAAAATTTCGTTCACAACTAATTATATTTTCCTTTAGCTAACATGTCGGCAGCTGAAGCAAAAAAATTAAAAAGTAAACTACGCAAACAACAATTACGTGAACAACAAGAAAAACAAAAACAAATCGATGCTGAACGAAAGAAAAAAGAATTTCAACGTAGTCGAAATAAGGATGATGGCGAAGAAGAAAAAGTCAAAGAAGATGAAATTAATGCTGAAAAATTAGAACGTGTATGTTCAATAAATATCCTCTCCTATTTCGATTTATCGATCTGCATTTGTCGTTTTGCTGCTGTGTTTTAGTGTGAAAAACCGTTAGAAGAAGCAATGCGATTTTTACAACCGCTTGAAGACTTTTCGTCGAATTTTCTCGAAACTCATTATTTAGGTTTTGAAGTTTATTATCGACGTAAAAAATATTTATTAATGTTACGTTGTTTGAAACGAATGAAAAAGTTAGATTCCAATAATCCAAAAGTTCATTTATGTCTAATGAAATTTCTTAAATTAAGTAATAAGAAAATTCATTGTTGTAGATTTTTTAATAATATTTTCTATTTCTTTAGTCACAGATGAGCCAATAAGTGATGAACGAGTTCGAACATTAATTGACGAAGAATTACAAACTTTTGATATTAAACAAGGAAATTCAATAAAAAAAGTTGAAGATATCAATAATGAATTTATTAAGAATAACTTCAATTCATTAACGCATCGTGCTGAAGGTAACTTTATTTATCCTTTCTCTATACAATAGAAGATATCTCCGGTAGAGATTTTATATCAGGTGTAATAGAAGGTATTTGTATATGCTATGTACTCTAACAAATTCTTCAGACATAGGAGAAAAATTAACGACTAAAAAAGCACTTCAATATCTCATGAAATCGTTTAGGAAATTTTCTCTGGATCGATGTTGATATAGGAAATAGTAATCTTTTAACTGATATCATAACAACAATAGTATATCCACGACAATTTTTTCCTTGTTGTTGTGGTTTTGATAGAATCAAAATAGTGAGACATTACTTTTTACCGTTCTAAAAGTGGAACGAAGAAGTATCCATTAAATCTTCTTTTATCAATGCTGGAATAGAAACATAACGTTTCCTATCCCTTAGTTACTCTTCGATCAATAGTTTCATGATATTGATATATCTTGAGTGTAATACTAGATGGTAAATTACATTCCTGTTGTCTATTTATTTATCTAGCCGCAAAAATAATGTTTTTGATTAATCCATCGAATAATCTCAAAATTATGGAATTTCTTACAACATTAGATACAAATTTCACGAACCAAAATTTAAAAGTTAGTTTTCTATACTCAAAAAGACATGTTTTTCTTCACGAATTTCTTTCTGTAATCTGTTCAGACTTGCACAACCATATATGAAAGTATGCAACAGGGTGACTATGGTCTTGTTGAGAATTCAACACTTGAAAAATATCGTAATGAATGCCATCGCCTTTGGCCTCAAGCAAATATATTTCAAGCAAATCCGCCGTTAACTGCTGATCAATCTCAATCACTACCGTCTCCTTATTCTTCACATGATACTCAAGCAAACAGTGGTAATAGTGGAGCAGCATAAAATACAATCAGAATCGATTGTGTCCATTTACTTCCGTGCTTTCGTTCTAGGCTACTTTATTTAACTTTCTACCTAAGTGTGATGACTAAAAAAAACTACGTTTTCTTTTTTCTTTTCTATTTCAAACAAGAAAAACTTCTTTAAAAAAATTTGACACAAGCATGCCTTTTGTTGTGATTATTAGAACAAGAGTTAAAAACGAGATGGTTTCTTTTCATTTCTTTTTTGTTTGTTTGTTGTTTTTTAGGCCATATTTGAGTGTTGTATGTGAGAAAGATTTTAGATTGTTTTTTTTTGCCTAATAAAACCAACGACAACAATGAAAATAATTTCTTTGGCTGTCGTTGATTAGAAAATTCACATCAAATTTTTTTGTCGATGTTAACTAGTCTAAGATTATTGATAATTCATACTCGCTAAATATAGATTTATAACTAAAAATATTTGATAATTTGTTTTAGATAAATGACATTGTCTTGTCTCACTGTTCTATTTTGTATTCAATATAAAATGTTATTAGTTCCTTAACAATTGCAATTCATACGAGATTAATTCAACGTCAAACAAAAAATAGACATCGTTGAATGTCACTGCTCTGATCAATACAAATTGAATATTACTCATAGTTTCAACGACATGAAATTACGTAAAAGGAAATGAATGCTATCAGTCTATGTTGTAACTGTTGCATAATCATGTAATACAGTCGGGTTTGCTTGTCTTTGGATGTTGTATGCTTTTGTTGATGATCGCTCATCGTACAATGTGTTTGTAACAGTCTGATATTGCAACTAAAAACAAACGATGAACTATTCATTTCGATCGTTTATTTTGCTTTTATTGTTAAAATAGCATGAAGCTAAATGTCAATTTTATAGAAAAAAAAGTTACAGTTTGTACATATATTCAATAAAAATAAAATTGGACACTTTTTCCAATATTCAAATGTACGTGATACTGGAGCGTGAAAATCTTAGAAGAAATGCCCTCATTTATTCTCTCTTATCATACTACCAAATATTTGTGCCGTTCTTTAGGCTTGTGTTCCGCATTCTTTTTCTTTCTGTTCTTATTTTACCTCTATATTTTCATTCTGTACAAAAAGTACAAACACCACGCCCCCTTATGTTGTACTTTGATCATCTGGTGTATAAAAGAAAAATGCACCCTTTGACATTTTTCAATTACTCGTGACGACACAGTCTTGGCTTGCAAAATGTAGTATACGCAGATTTTTTTTCTTTGTATCGTATTTACTATAAATAGGCGTTGAAACTTATGTCGATTAGTTGCTGGCGATAGGAAGTTATTGTACACGTGAAAGAAATAGATAGTCGACCGCTAGTGAAAACAAAAAGATTACGTAGGTTGTTTTTAGTAATAGTTTCTATTATTAGGAAACCATCCAATGAAAAATCAAACAAAGTAGAACGGAGCAAAAGAACGATATTTGTCTTTTAGTCGCTTTTTTGCTCTCAGGTAATGAACGGAAATTGTTTAGTTGTATATGAATAACAGACGACATCACGACAACAAATACATTTTTTGGCTAATTATGAGTAAATATCAGCATTTCTTTTTTTTTTTCTTGATATAATTTTTATTTATTGTCTTTAATCGAAACGAAACAGATGGTCGAAGCTTTTCTTTCGCAAACGACAAGGCCTCTAAAGAAAAACAAAATGATTATTATGACTTGATTAAATCTATATATTTGATTTTAGTAATTATTTTCTCTTGAAGACACTAACTACAAATAATAATTATAATCGATAGTTTCATCGTAAAGTGAAAAAGATAAATAGTCTAGTTGATCGAGGTACCACCACCACCATCATCATCATTCATCCATATAATGATACCAGCTAGGGTTAGGTGACGAAAAACGTGCAATCATCTTTGCAACTCGTTAGTGACACACTTCATCTTTAAAATAAAAGAAAAAAAGCATCGAGATGTATAATGTCAAAGCCAGAATGCTATCAGAAAGGGTATTGAGTACGAAAAAAAAACTTGTTCTACAAACGATGATAAAATATTTACAAATAGGTTTTGAATAGTCTTATTCATAAATGTTTCTTGAAAAACTTATTTTTCCTCTAAGGTGGTGCATCAGTAAACATGACATGAAGGGAAATTAAAGCGAATAATAAATAATATTTACGTGAGACGGAGAAACACTAAGCTATGCTTTATGAGGCACGATACGATTAGAATAGAACTGAAGTAAATATAATTTTCATGGATTTAATAATGACGTGGTTAAATAGAAATCATTAATTTCATGCCACATAGTATATCGAGAACATGTTATGGTAATCAATGAGTTTATGAATAAAAAAAATTTTTTTTTGGTTAATAAACTCTAGTTGTACTAATTTTTCAAAAAGTGCTTCGGTTACTGTGATAAAAAGAAAACTATCTGAACGTTATTGCATTTAGATAGGATAGAATTTCTACGCGAATTGATTCGATTGGATTTTAAACAATATTCAAAAGTCAAAACTATTTTTGATAATTTCTGTCCTTGATGAGGATCAATAAAACAAGCAGCAGTTCTCGCTTAGATACATTAAATTATAATCATCTAGGAAAGATGAGTGATGACTGGTTGTATGTGATTCAGAAGAAAGATTTTTCTAATATCATGAAACGTTTTTGTTACTGTTTATATCAAGTTGCTGTAGAAATCAATCTATTGAGCGCTGCTAGAGACCCGACGTCAAATTCCCAATCGAAACAAATCTACTGATTGCATGTTAACAGAACTTTTATATTTGTCTAAGCATCGAAAATAGCCATATTAAAAATAACCCATTTTAAAAATAATAATCAATCCTTCGTCAATAATAAATTCTTGTGGTTCACTCATTTTGCTTGGATAAAATTCACCAGGTAAGTTACTTGCCAACGATATTTAAAGAAAGAAAAAAAATCACTCTATAATTCCAAGGTGCAGTACAAATAAAGTCTACAGTTCATAGGTCACAGACACTACTGTAAATAGTGTATTTCTTTTTCTTGTTTCATTAGAGGATTTCTAGTGGTAAAACAAAAATTGTCCTTTTAATCAATCTTTGATTTTCTTTTAGATATGAATAAAGAGATCGAGTAACATTTTTTTTTTTCATTAAATAAAAGTATGTATCGTGTCAGCAATCTTATTCAAACATCCTATTGTACGCGTTCAACATTTGCCTCATGTAAACGTTTACTTTCAAGTAAAAATAATGAGCAAAAACAATACAAAGGTCGAAAAATTAATAAACTTCTTGTGGCAAATCGTGGTGAAATTGCAATTCGCGTATTTCGTGCATGCAGCGAAATTAATATTCGAACAGTCGCGATTTATTCCGCTGAAGATGAAGGACAATTACATCGTATCAAAGCTGACGAATCATTTAAAATTGGGAAAGGTTTATCACCGATTGCAGCATATTTAAATATTCCAGAAATCATTAAAGTTGCTGTAAAAAATGATGTCGATGCCATTCATCCAGGTTATGGTTTTCTATCGGAAAATGGAGATTTTGCTAAAGCATGTCTTGATGCTGGTATTGTATTTGTTGGTCCAACACATGATGTTATCTATCGTATGGGTAACAAGTTAAATGCTCGACAATCAGGTAAAAGCAAAAAAGAGAAGAACGAAATATATGAAATTATTTGCAAAACTATTTTATACATTTTTCAGCTATCGATGCTAAAGTTCCAATTATTCCTGGTACAACCCATGCTGTTGATAATCTTGATGCAGTACGCGTATTTGTTAAAGAACATGGCTATCCAATAATGCTTAAAGCAGCACGCGGTGGTGGTGGTCGAGGAATGCGCATAGCAAGAAATGAAGGTGAATTAGAAGAAGCTTTTCAACGAGCTTCATCAGAAGCGAAAGCAGCTGTTGGCGATGGAAGTTTATTTGCTGAACGCCTTGTTACACAAGCAAGACATATTGAAGTACAAGTCATCGGTGATCATTATGGAGGTGTTTCACATTTATATGAACGAGATTGTTCTGTACAACGACGCCATCAAAAGGTTATTGAAGTAGCACCAGCAACAAACTTAGATCCAAAACTTCGAGATCGTATGACTTCTGATGCTGTTCGTTTAGCTAGACATGTTGGCTATCAAAATGCTGGAACAGTTGAATTTTTACTTGATGATCAAGGACGACATTATTTTATTGAAGTTAATTGTCGTCTACAAGTTGAACATACATGTTCAGAAGAAATAACAGGAATCGATATAGTACAATCACAAATAAAAATAGCTGAAGGTTCACGTTTAGCAGATCTAGGTCTTGAGCAAGACAAAATAAAAATCATGGGTGCTACTGTGCAATGTCGAATGACAACAGAAGACCCGGCAAATAATTTTACGCCTGATGTTGGCCGAATTGATGTGTTTCGATCAGCAGAAGGATTTGGTTAGTTAAGAAAGATAAACAAAATCTTTTATTAATTGGTTCGATGAGTATGATCATACTTTTTTTTCTTTCTTTTGTCTCCTTCAGGTATTCGTATTGATAGCGCTTCTGCTTATACAGATGCTGTTATCAGTCCATTCTATGATTCCTTATTGGTTAAAGTGATTGCTCACGCACGTAATCATCAAGAAGCATGTGCTAAAATGGTTCGTGCACTTACAGAATTTCGTATTCGAGGTGAAAAATTCAAAGATGGAAAAAGAAAAATATTACTATTGATTTTCTTTTCTTGCAGGTGTCAAAACAAACATTCCATTTTTACTCAATGTTCTTCATCATCAACAATTTCTTGAAGGCTCGATCACTACGAGTTTCCTCGATGAAAATCCTATATTATTTAAATTTTTGCCTGCACAAAATCGTGCACAAAAATTACTTTCCTATCTATCGGAAGTATTAGTCAATGGACCTTTAACACCATTGGGCACAGATATTAAACCGATGCATATAAAACCAGAACTTCCGCATGTAAAAAGGAAAGAAATTCCAAATGGTTGGCGTCAAGTATTGATGAAAGAAGGACCTGCAGGTTTTGCTAAAGCTGTTCGTAAACATCCACAGTAAGATACGGCATTTATATATATCTATATAACGAAATGATTGTTTTCTTGTTTAGAGCTTTAATTATGGACACAACTATGCGTGATGCACATCAAAGTTTATTAGCAACACGTGTACGTACACGTGATTTGAAAAAATCAGCACCATTTGTGGCGAAAAATTTTCCTCAATTTTTCAGTTTAGAAAATTGGGGAGGTAAAATAAAACAAAATTAACTAATTTGTTTGTTGCATATAAATTTTGATTGATGTTACTAATCTAGGTGCAACATTCGATGTTGCTCTTCGTTTTCTACACGAATGTCCATGGGATCGTTTAAGTGAACTACGAGAAATTATTCCAAATATTCCATTTCAAATGTTATTACGTGGTGCGAATGCTGTTGGATATTCGAACTATCCAGATAATGTCATTGATGGTTTCTGTCAAATGGCTGTTGATCATGGAATGGACATATTTCGTATATTCGATTCATTAAATTATTTACCGAATATGAAAGTTGGGATTGATGCTGTTGGAAAAGCAAATGGTGTCATATCAGCTGCTGTTTGTTATACAGGAGATGTTGCAGATAAATCGCGTACAAAATATAACTTAGACTATTATACTAAAGTTGTCGATGAACTTGTTAAAATGGGCATACATATTTTATCTATCAAAGGTAATAAATGCTACTGTATATTGAATTGAAAGAATGTATAAACTCTTCAATTAGATATGGCTGGTCTTCTTAAACCTCAAGCGACAAAAATTTTAATTGATGCTATTCGACAGAAACATCCAGATTTGCCCATTCATTTACATACACAGTAAGTAGAACGGATGTTTACTCAATTTCTTATTTGGCACATTGAATAATATTGAATAATTGATAGCAAGATATTTTCTATACTATGCACTACAATGACATTCATCTATTTTCTTAAAGCTAAGAAAATGTTTTCGAATTCTAGTGATACAGCCGGAACTGGCGTTGCTAATTATCTAGCAGCTCTTGAAGCCGGTGCTGATATTGTCGATGTAGCTGTTGACTCTGTGAGCGGTATGACATCTCAACCAACGATGGGCGGTGTTGTTGCTGCATTACAAAATACAAAATATAATACAGGTATTGACTTGGAAAAAGTCAATGAATATTCGGCATTTTGGGAACAAACACGTTTACTTTATGCACCATTTGAATGTACAACGACAATGAAAAGTGGTAATGCTGATGTATATAAAAATGAAATACCGGGCGGACAATACACAAATTTGCAAGTAAAAAATATTACAATAACATATTTGAATGGACATTCATTTTATGTTTTGTTTTGAAAATTCTTTATTTAGTTTCAAGCATTTAGTCTTGGTCTTGGTTCACAATTTGAAAATGTTAAAAAATCATATATCGAAGCTAATCAAGTTTTAGGCGATATCATTAAAGTAACGCCATCATCAAAAGTCGTTGGCGATCTTGCACAATTTATGGTGCAAAATAATTTGACAGCTAAAGAAGTACGTGAACGTGGCGATGAACTTTCGTTCCCATCAAGTGTTGTAGAATTTATGCAAGGTCAACTTGGCCAAGTAAGTCTTCGTTTTTTTTCTTCTTTCCTATGTGAACTAAAAACACTATCCTATATTCTAGCCACATGGTGGATTTCCTGAGCCACTTCGTACACAAATATTAAAAGAAAAGAAAAGAATTGATGGTCGTCCAGGCGCTGATACTGAACAATTAGATTTCGATAAAATTGAAGCAGAATTAAAAAAGAAATTCGGTGATGACATTATTCGTAAATGTGATGTTATGTCATATGTTATGTTTCCTAAAGTTCTTGAAGAATACATTGATTTTAAAAAACAGTATGGTCCCGTTGATCTTTATCCAACACGAGTATTTTTTGTTGGACCAACTCTCAATGAAACGTTGGAGTAAGTTAATTTTTTTTGATAGGATTAAAGGGAATATTGATAAAAAATATATACATTTATTTATTTATTTATTTATAATTATTTAGCATTGAAATTGAACGTGGAAAAGTTCTTCATATTGTTGTATTAGCGATAAGTGACTTAATGATTGCAACAGGCGACCGTGAAGTATTCTTTCAAGTTAATGGTCAATTACGATCAATGAAAGTTAAAGATAAAGCAGCTATTAAAGATCACAAAGTTCAACCAAAAGCTGATAAAAACAATAAGAATCAAATTGGTAAGCTAAAATTTGCTTCTGATTCAACATGTTTCGACTAAATCTGCAAATGTCTACGACCATCGATACATAGGCGGCGGAGCCATTAGGCTTGGGGAGGCTTAAGCCTCCCCTAAAAACCAATTGGGGAGGCTTGAGGAGGCTCAGATAATTGAAAAAAATACAGATTTCGTCGTGATTTACTTAACTTACAATATATTAGGAAATCTGTTTCATGAATATTGTAAATTATTGCATTTATAGTTAACAAATCTCACTTCAACGGCTACGGCTCAGAGATGCTTCAGTGCTATAAATGGAATAAAGACATCTACGATCAATAATGACACAACAACGCTTTAATCATGCCTTTATTTCTCATATTCATTAAGGGAAACTAGATCTAATTAGATCAGTTAGACATGAAGAACATTTGCTCTGAGTGTATTGCAAAAGAACTAGAGAAAAGGCGTTGCTGGGTATGAACAATAGTTTTTGTACTTATGATATGTTTGCTTTAGTCAAAGTTTAAGATTTTTTTACGCCTATGTTGATAAGGAAATAAAAATTTTGATAGTGTAGTCCCTAGTCGAGAATCACCTAATGAATCCCCAGGCAGCTCCTGTCTTGAGTACTCGACGAGTTAAGAAAATTTTGAAAACTTTCTATTGAGACTATCAAAAACCTACGTAAAAATTCGAAAGTATCTTCGAAAATTCGTAAGGGATTTCTAAGAAATGACTGGAAAGTGCCATAGAAATCTCGAGAAGTGAACAGAGAGTTTCTTGGAATTTCTAAGACACTCTCCACTAAGTTTTTAGATATCTTTTACAAATTTTCGAAGACACTTTCGGATTTTTACGTAGATTTTTGATAGTCTCGATAGAAATTTTCCATATTTTCCTTAACTCCTCGGGAACTCGTGACAGACCCTTCTAAAAAATCCAAAATTGGTGGGGACTCTGGGGATGCGTTAAGTGATTCTTGACTAGGAACGCAATTTTCGATTGTTCTGCAGCCATATAAATGGATCAATACAGAAAAATTTTCCAATCAAAGTTGTGACAACGAATTTTAAAAGTCTATCTTCTCTCCAAACGTCGACTTTTTATCGTTTGTTGAAAAAAAATTGAGCCTCCCCTAAATTCAAAACGTTCCGCCGCCTATGTTCATGGGTGTATCTATGCACTGAGCGAGAGTAACGCAAAACACACCATTGAGGTTGCTCTTCTTGGTCATCAGATAAATCACGATAAAGAGGTTCATGAATAATAGAGACTGCTATTAAGAACGGTAAGATGACAATCACCAATCGTGCTAAGCGTTTACTTTGTATTTTGTTGAAAAGGGCACCTTTGTAGACTACCGTCGATCTCTCGAAAGCCACAAATGCATTTAACCAATTATCTGTGTAGAGACAAATTTTAATTAAGAAATCCAATACTCTGCAACCACCCCGAACGAACGAACGAACGATTGATTAATGGATCAATTAGAGTCACAACTAGAAACCAGAATTTGAATGCAAAAATAGTCACCGTGCAAAACGAAGTAATGGATGATGCTAGAATATAGATTCCACAACCAACTTCTCTTGAAATTTTGTTACGAAATGTAACAATAGAGAGAACACTATTGATCCATCCGACAACTAATATAAGCATCGTAAATGCTGAATTCCATTTAATAAAATTAGTCTGACTATTGAACGCTGCATTTGGTTTTATTTCATAACGTAATATATCATCAAGTGTTAATCCAATACCTTTTGCATAAAATTGACATCGATCACCGAAGAAACAATCAGTACAAACGCATATGGTTACTGTGGGACACTTAATATCATCTAGCCAACATTCAGCGCCATTTTGACAATAAAGATTATTTCGACATTGTTTAGGAATATGTTTCAACTTGAAACAACTGGGATAACGTTTGAGACTGCATAAGCAAATATAAAATTCATCGAAGAAACACATTAAATCGAGATCATTTTTTCATATCGTATGATAATGTTTCACTCGTCGAATTTCGGGTAAGTCAACCAATGCAGAGTTCAAGAGTTCATTGACTGATGCACATCGTTGTTTAGAACTAATCGACGTAGAGATATTAGAAAACCTGAATGATTGAAGAACAGCCAAATAGTAGCTATTATCAAGTTTGACAATAATCAATCGAAGGGAATCTGTCGAGTACAGTGAAATACTGCGTTGAAATATACTTGTTGTATGTGAAATCACATTCGGTGTCGTATTTTCAATGAGACCAGCAACAATAGACTCGTAATATAGATATACCAATACAAGTGTTGTAGGTTTGATATTGTCAAACGGAATGTCAAGTTTCCATTTCTGTATATGACAGAATACGCCATAAGATTCTTCAGGACACACTCAAACAAAGCCAGTGACGCCCAAACTATAAGTAGTAGCTAAACAACTGGCATTGTTTTCACAAAAGTTAGACGGGCATGAAAATGTTAGAAGACAACGCGGACCTTCTTTACTCAAAGGACAGACACATATAGATCGATTTTGAAACATTCCGATACAAATTGAGCCAGACGCACAATTGCTACAATCAATAGAAATATCACATCGACTACCAGACCAACCACTGTAACATCGGCAACAAATGTTTCTTCATTCATATACTGTATGCATTCACCATTGTGACATTGGAGAGGACAATCACTCGAACCAGACACTGAATCCATTGGTACAGTTAATACGACAGCCATGCGATATACACGAAGAAATGGAAAACGTATTTTGAAGTGCCGACTGCTAACATATATTTGAGGGTCTTTTTTAAATAAATCAAAACGAATACTATAGTTCTTTGAACTGTTATTTGGTTTTGTCAAATAAGTAAGAGAGAAATGAAGATTTTGTTCACAGTTGTTGGTGTTCAAGAAATTAAACTGATCGTAGGAATTAATCACTTGAACATCATTGTCATTATCGATCAGAAGTGCAATCATTTCATAACTATCAATATTAAAGCGTCTTAATGTTCTCGCTTTGACTGTAAGACTGACTCGTTGGTTTTGATATTGACATACATCACCATAGGAATTTTATGGGCAAAAACATCTATAGCTGAAATTATTGCATCCAAGCCAGAGACGAGTATAGATTCCATCCTAGGTTGTTCAAAACGGACTCGTTTACTGTCTGTTTATCGACGGTAAACAATGTCAAAACGGTTATTTACGGCAGTAAATAGGCCGTATTTGTCCGTAATACCTGGTACAGTAATACGGCACCGTGAACGGGACTGAATTTTTATGGTTTACGGCTGTTTGTGCTCCGTACTCTCATGATCATACGGCCCGTATTACTGCACCAGATATTACGGCAAACTTTTGCCCGCAAAATAGTCGTAAAGTAACCGTAAACGACAATATATGGACCGTACTGTTAGACCTGGGATGATTAAAAAGCCATGGTCATGTTGAATCATCCGGATTGTTAGTGAGGAGTTCTGTATTTTTATGCTGTTGAATTGCTCGTTGACCAATGTTTTCATATTTTGTTCTGAAATGGATGGATACGATCGAAACATTTGGAATGAAAATTGAATCATTTTCAAAATTTTCATACGACTCAGTGCTGTTTCCATGTTACTAACATGAATTTTGCCTATATTATCGCAAAACTGATAATTCGCTGCGCAAAATGCTTCATTATTTTCGAATGGACAGCCTGCTCTGTTATCACATAATTACAAGGAACGCAATTTCAGTTTATGAATTCAAAAAATGCACGCCTTTCTGTACTTTTCAAATCATGTCTACTATTCAAAGATACTTTTACAGTAATATTGACGGATTCAGATAGTTTCGTATTCTCTATCATGCTTTCTATTGGTATCTTCGTCTTGTCGGGGATTACGCAGTGGTTCTATGCATCTGATTGTTATTCAAACATGAAAAGGTTCAATCCCTTCCCCCGATACGGTGTCTTCGATGTCAAGATATACGGTATCGGAAGAATAAACAAAGGAAGAACAGTACTGCACGCCAATTTCGTCATCACTACCTCGATTTCGACTTTCGCTTTGTTCGTTTACGTTTTCGTTTTCGCTTCCTTGTCATCCTTTCTCTGTGTATTATCGTAGTTTTGTCTGTTGACTCTTGTTTTCGTAAGCGTCCATAAAACTCACACAAAATATCATTGAGTGTCCCCAGGTCGAACATTCCGGCCATCGGATCCCGTAGGATACTCCAGGGAATATGCGGGAAAGTCACCATATCCTGCAGGAAAACCCGGAAAATCGCTGGAACATGGAAGCAGTATTCCGGTCAAAAATACGGCCGGACTTTTCCGGAGCATTCCTGCAAAGTTCCGATGCTTTCCGGCAGGAATTGATCGCTAATCACCGGAAAAAATCCGAAAATTTTCCAACTGGAATACTTCTTCCACAAAATCAACGGAACTACCCGGAACCGGCTGTTTCCAGGCCGGACTGTTTGACCTGGGTCACGAATAAATATAGTACATCAACCAAAAAAAACGTTTTGTCTCCGCTACTACGTACAAACATAGATATAATTGCTTGAACAAATAATTATATATTTTGGTTGAAATCTACACCGTCGGTCATTTCGAAATTTTGAAATTTTGAAATCATAAACGATAAGCATCCCTTGCTTTATGCTTTATCAGTTTGCCTACGTACATAAATGAAAGATAAGACAAAAATATACAGAATAATGTAGCGGCTGAAATTCTATATGAATACATAGTTTTTATTTAAAAAAGGGAACTTTCATAGTACCTATAATTTAACACAGTAAAGTTAAAAATAGCAAACAGATATAGAATTTCTGAACTTGTAAATTGAGAGTGTTTTCATTGTACTGAGATTATTTTTGCAGTAGATAGATGTAAGAGTCTAGACAAAGACGTAGAAAGATAAGAGAATTTCAAATTTTGTCAGAGTATAATATATAGCTACTCTTTTTAAAATACATTCCTGTAACGACTGGTTAGCTAATTACTCTAACGTAGTATCACGTGATTCGTGTATTTGCCAATGTTATGAGAAACCTAGCTGTGTCACTGCTCATAACTCTGGTAATCGTCAAGAATACGTACTCTTTGCGGTACCAACCAGTCTAGGATATCTACGTATAATGGTAATTAATAAAAAAAACTACTGTTATTAGTTTCGAAGGCAGGAGTTATGTCGGTAAGTAACAAACACACAAAGGAATAGAATATCTCCTAATGAGAATCCCACCTGTTAATTAATCATATCTGAGAAGCGACTAAACACATCATGTATATTTTAGTTTGCTATGAATATCAATCTAAATTTGATCATCCTCTGAAACTCCATAAAGATCAACGCTCGAATTTCAATGTTGAAGCTTTGCAGATTAACAAGCTTTATTATCAATATTTCGTTACGAGATATTTAAAAGATGTTTTATTATCCCTGTTCTAATTACGATATAACTACTGGTATGAGAATAGTCCTCCTTTTCCTCCTTTTGTCATTTAAAATAAAAATAAAAATAAAAATTTTCAATATTTCAAGCAAAACGTTTTGATGAGTCAGCAATTCAAATGATATTTCAAGTAATTCATATTAGCATTAACACGACAAGGTATTAATTTTCAATGAAAAGCAAATTATATTTTGAGTTTCTAATACTATAGAATCGACATCTCATGCAATTGGATAGAAATGTGAACAATCACGTATTAATTTTTAATATGTAACATTAAAAGATAATACAATTACAATTGCAATTACGAAGATAGAGGAAGAAAGAAAAAAAAGAACAAAACAAACAGCTAACACAATTATGTAATTATATATATATAAATGTCGTTTGCTTTTTCTTTTGTTTTCTTCATGTATTGCGCTTTACGCAAGTTGTAATTAGATCGTCTTTTAATGCTATATATGTATTAAGAATTTATACATAAATATTTATTTTACCTTCGAATATTTTTATTTCTTGATGATTACAACTCCAAAGGATTGAAAACTCGAAATAAGATTGTTTTCTTTTGTACAAACTATATCAGTATTAATTCAAGACGAAAATATTTATTGCGACTAATACTAATGTTTAAATTTATGGTACACTACAGTTAGATCATTTTCTTTGCAATAATCAGTTGTTTGATTTCATTTATTATATTTTGTTCTAATTCTAAGTGATTGCTTTTTCGAGCCTTTTGTTTAAAATTTATACATAAACATTTGTTGAAATTATGTTAAATGTTTTAATAAAACCTATTCAGAATACTAATAAGCTCGAACTTGCGTAGAAGTCTTATTTTTTCGAGAAGACAGAAATCCTCTTATATTTCTCCTTCTTTTTTATCAGATCCTCCTTAATATTTTCAATGATAATCCTCCAAAATACTCCTTTTTTTAGAAAATAGCGTTAACATACTAGTATAACATATGATATGAATGCGTCTCTTATGTCATTCATATATATCGATACACTTAGTATTCTTATTCTAGAATATGTGTAAATTAAAATATTTGAAACTTTTACAACATAAACAGGGTTACCACCTCTTCAACTTTTTCAATTTTTTTCCGTTATTTTTCCGCTGTTCCCCTTTTTCGTATAAAACGTGTTGCATATCAAACCTGCGTACATAATGATATTTGATATTATTGAATCAATTCTTATTGTTCACAAATACCGTGAGTCATCTTACTCTTATGTTTTGAAACTTTGATGAAATAAAAAAAAATCCAATAAATATGAAAAAAATGCCGAATATTCTCAGAAGCACCACAAATCCGCAACAATATAAGCTTCCTCTTTTTTTCCGCTTTTTCTGTTTTTCTTTCCGCTATTTTCCGCTTTTTAACATCAGTTTTTCGCTTTTTGGGCTTCACCAGGTGGCAACCCTGAACATAAACCAAACTGATGTATATAAGTCTATATGTGACGTTTCATTAGAGAATGCGAAAATCTGATTTCAAAAGAGCAGAAGAAGAGCTGTAACTTTAAGTGAAACAGACCTCAACAATGCTCTAACTTTTCAACAAAAAGTCAGAAATCTGAACTNGCGTCGAAACGCTTCGTTTGTTTCACTGGAGACGCATTTAGACGCGTTCGCTTCTGTACGTTTCGCACGCAAATGGAACGCGTTTCAGACGCGTTTCGAGGCAAAAAATATTTACATGGGTTATCATCTACCTATAAGATTGTTACAAATTATTTATTCTTTTTTCTCACTGGCTTCGTTTTACATCTCATATAATCTATGCGTTTGCTATAATCTGTTGGCAAGGAAAATGTCAAAAAAATAATCAATATTTTCTCATCGAGAAAAAAGGAAATCAATCATATGACTTCGAAAAAGAAAAAAAATAATGGCACAGAAAAATACTTTTATAGTATAGTTTAATAATGTTAAATTATGTTTCTACTGAATAATAATAATAACTTCTCTGCTATAGCTAAAAAAAATCATTGAGAAGGTGCGATGTTGTAATGACATGCTCATTAAAATAATTATAAAATGTGCTTATTCGATTTTATAAAACTAATGGTTATATTTTGTGTTTCAACACACAAAAATGATGTAGGCTCTAATGTTACTATATTTTTTTAGGTACAGGTGATGCTGTAATCTCTCCATACACTTCAATATTGTTATTTTCTTTTGGAGCTCATATTATCGAATGAATATATATTGAAATTGTTTCATTTGTTAATTGAAACAATCTATTTCATAAAAAGTCAGGAATATTATTTAAAATACATGAGTTTTCTTCTAAATCTATATTTAATTAAAAATAGAACGAAACGACTTACATTAGCTAGTATTCACTCTTTTCTAGTAAATATCCTAGAACATGATAAAAAAAAAACTTATTCTCCAATTATATTTTTGATAAATATATTATTTCATTTTAATGTTCCGAACTAAAAATTATTAACGATATCTTTTAAATTTCATCTTATTTTTGTTTTTACTTTCGAAACCAAGTCTTATTTTCGTTTGCTGATAAAAATCAACCGTTTTCCCAAATGCATTTTGACTTTATTTGATAGAAACTGTTAAAACAGTTAGCTAGGATGCAACCATGGCGACTCTTACAAATAAGTGGTGACACATTCTCATATAAGAAGCTGATCAAAGAATTAGATATCGTTTAGTTACTATATACATGATTTGTCTGACTTTAGTATCAATTGAATATCGAAGTTTAAAATAATTCAAAGAACTCTTTCATTTGATCGAATTGAACAAAGATTAGCAAAAATTTTATTTTGATTCTGTTAAACTTCGATTGAAACTAAAGACGGGTCAGAGAAATAAATTTCTTGTTCCTGGTCAAACAACATTTTAAAAATTTATGTAGATATTCATGTCAGATGTCTTATTGATAATTTACTTATTTTTTCTTCTTCTCATACTTTTTGAAACTTCTCAATTTTAGTCAAGTCTCTCAAATGCCTTCCATTTCTATTGTCCGCACTCAGATCGAACAAGAACGATTGTTTACGATCGTACACAGACTCCGTAAACCTTGACCTGGCTATAGTCCTCATGGACAAAATCAATATGTTGTAGAAAGCAAAATTGTTTACGCTTTTGAAATATTCATAATTAACACAAAGTAACATTAGAGAAAAACTTGTTAGTACTGCGATTAAATTAATATATTTCAACACAGAAAAAGGTCAGAAAACGAAGACTTATGTAAAATTATTAAAGAAAGAAAAAACTCCGAAATAAAATAATTGCAAAAGTCTGGTTTTGTTTATGCTTGTATGTAGAAACCATTGATTACAGTTAAATTGATATAACAACTTTTGAAAGAAAGATTAAACCTATATAACATTAGAATTTGTAGTATATTTGTATTCATAAGCAATTGACTTCAAAGACAGATGATGATAAACAAGAAGCTATGAGGCAATGTCTCTTATTATAAAGAACGATGTAAATATTGGATGTTCAATCTATAGAAATATCAAAGAATTGTAGAAGCTTTTCTAAAATACTGTATTGATGAAAAAAATCTACTCTGATCCTTAGTTCTAAAATGATTATATTTTATGCTTTGATGAAGTAGCCCGGACAGGAACTTCATAGTTTGTCTTTTTTTTGTTTGCATTTATTTCAGATGTCACTACGATAAATCAAACAATCTCTCCAGTTGAACTTCTTGCAAGTAATTGTTTGAAAACAAATATTGACTGTTAGCTTGTTTCACTGTTATAGACAATGTTTGTATCACA